AATGCCACTAGTCTTTGAGCCTCTCCTTGTTATTTCTTTTCCTTCCCCTTCCCTCCACCTTCATCTTTCCTCTCCTTCCTCTTCTTCTGTTTTCACGATCTATGCACATTATCTATGTGACATCATCAAAATCCATATTTTCAATTACAACAGTTGTTGACAAAAATCTATAAATCTACCCTAACCTTTCCTGCTAAACTCAAGAAAATGTAATCAGGGGAACATCTGATGTCCTGCTGGAACTACAAACTCAACCTGTAAAAATTGAACTAATCTTTCCCAAACTTCCCCTGCTTCAGCCTTCCATGGCCCACTACAAATTTGAGAGTTATTCAAGACTTTTCTTTGCCCTTTCCCAATATTGAACCAATTCCCAAGTCTTGCCAATTCAAGCCCCCATATTTCTCGTCAGTCTTATTTATATCTTCATTGCCACTGAGTTGGTCCTAGTTTAAACGATTATTAAATTACTATAATAGCTTACCAATCAATCTACTGGTTTCAGCTATGATTTTCTAAACTATTGTGTCTAAGAAGCAAAACTGCTAATGTCCCTTTTATGATTAAAATATTTCATTTGTTCCCTATTTTCTTCAGAATAAACTTCAAATTTCTTGAGGTGACAGTAACAAGCACTTGGTCATTTGCAGATTCTCTTTCTACCTTGCATTTCATTCATTTATTAAACAACTTTGCATTATTTGCCAAGTACTCTTCTAGACAATGGAGATGCAAAGAATATAAGGTATAGAGTTCCTGTTTCCAGGAAACTGACAGTGAAATGGGAGAATGATGTGTAAACCATATTTTTTAGAAAAAAAAAGTAATGGAAATAACATAGGAGAGTAGCCTGGGTTATTAATCTAATTTCAGCCGTTCTCCACACATTCTCAACTCTTAAACCATGGCCTTAAAGCAGACTGCAAACTGATAATTCAAGGGTTGAATCATTCAGAAGATAATAGTTTCCTTTGGCTGCCATAGCAAACTACCACAAAATTAGTCACTTAACACAGATTTATTCCCTTAGAGTTTGAGAGACCATTAGTTCAGAATCAGTTTTGCTGGGCTAAAATAAAGGTGTTAAGAAAAGCTGGATTTTTCAAGAGGATTAGGGAAAAATCCATTTTCTTACCTTTTCTAGCTTCCAGAGACTGCCTGCATTCCTCAGTTCATGAACCCTTCCTTGTATCATCTTAACCTCTTGCTTCCATGCTATATCTCCTGCTTTTCTTTTGTATTCATATCTCCTTCTCCCCCTTTGTTACAAGGACACTAAGGATTGTATCTAGGCCCATTCATATAATCCAGGACAATCTTCCCATCTCAAGATTCTTAACCTTAATCTCATCTGCAGTGTTCCTTTTGCCACATAGGATGAACTAGTCACAGGTTCTAGGAGCTGGGGTCTAGATGCAGGGCCTCTATTCCACCTACCAGAGAAGATGTATTTTACTTGGTCTACATAACAGCAACTTAAAAAAACACTTGCTAACAAGGGAAAATTTCAAGATGCTACAATAAAACCCTGATTTCTGGCTTTTGAGAAATAAGGAAGAATTGACCTCTTTGGGCCAGCACTCTGTGTGGCAATATAGCCTGATCCATCCAAAGTAGCCTGCATTCATTCTACAGTAAGCTCAATGCTTTCCAGTCCCTACTGCCCTGCACCCAGCCTGATTTTCTCATCCACACTGACTGCCTGGTACCTGGAGACACTGGAATTTGTAATGCCTGCCATGAAATCTTTTTGATTTTTCACAACTCTCCACCTACATAAATGTTCATCCTCTCCTACTGGAGGTCTTCATTCTCTCTCCTCTACAATAACCTCGATGCTTCTACTCGTCCTTAAAAAATTAGTGTAAGAGCTCCTTCTCTGGAAGCCTCCACATCTCCTGTCTGTGTGGGATGGTACCTTTACGAACTCTATTTTACTATACACCCCATTTCATCTGTCACTTTCTTGGAGGCAGAGCTTGTGGGGGTTTTTTCCCATTTTTACCCCAACACCAGCAGTAGATGCTTCAGTAAATCCTGAGTGAATGTATACAATGGATGAAAGTAGCAACACTATTAAAGGGGGCATTTATTACAAAATAAAAAGTGCTATTAAAAGAAGAGTTTTCAGGGGCCGGGGATTTAGCTCAGTGGTGCCGCTGCCTGTCTCGCAAGTGCAAGGTCCTGAGTTTGATCCCCAGTACCAAAAAAAAAAAAGAGTTTTCAGCTATAAAAGAGAATAATTTAAATATGTCTATGATACCATAGACAGATTAAATAAGACCAGATACTTCAGAGTGAGAAAAGATTTGAATCTAAGGAGAGTATTAAATAATATGGAGAAGAACTAGGCAGATGCAGGAACTATGGGAAGCTCTGAGGTTGGTTTCAGAGCTGCCTGGGATCTTGCTTTGTTCCACAGGGCCTGATCATGCTCTTCTTTGTATGAGTGACAGAACTACAAATAATAACATCAGAGGGACAGATGTCTAGTATCATTTCAGTTCTAGCATGGCTAACATGCTCTGAAGAGTTGCAATTTGAATAATGTATTGGTAAAAACCTGTGGAAGACATAGGGGAGAGGGGAAGCTTACCTGAATCATGAATTATTCATGCTTAACTGGAGAACAATGAGGCAGAGCTTTGGCTTTTATTACTGTTTCTGATACAAAGTGATTAGTTTTAATTTTAGATGATTGCACATGCTTATGTAACACACCGAATTCTATTTGGGTATTAACATTTTTGTTTTGACCATTCCAATTTGAAGCAATTTACTTGAGGTCATGAAATTGTTTCTTTCTAATGACTGCATTAGAATTGAATATTAAGATATATGGAAGACTTCTTCCCTGTCCTCACAGTTAATCAAATAAAGTAATTTTTGTCTTTGATGCAGAACCAAGGAAGAATGAATCTTTGAACTAAAATTAGATTAAACTAACACAGTCGTCTGAAGTACAGAAATATATATACCCTTTGCTAATATCTATTAGAAGGGAACATTTTTGTTTTCTACTGTTGATCACAGAGGTACAGGCTATACGATCAGAGTTAAATTGAAATTTGAAGTTGAGTCACTGAGCTGGCAAAGATGATCTGTTTCCCCAGAAATAAGAACATTAAGTAGTGGAACAATTTAATATTAGAGTTATTTACCATAATCATGTGAATTTTGCTATAGATACCCTGCTTGATTTTGGCTGATCAGTAGTTATCACAAGGGTTTTAAATCCAGAATTTCTTTGGCTAACTTGCATATCCTGCTTGTGTTCAAGGTTTGGGGAGTGGATCTACTGTGAGTGGATCTACTGTGAGTGGATCTACTGTGGATCTCTTATTAAATTTATTCTTAACTATTGGCAATATTATTTTTATAGAGTCCTAAAAAACTAGTTTGTTTCAGTGAAAAAAATGACAGTTCCTCCTGTGATCCATCACTCAGTGATACCTTATTTCTAATGTTATGGGAAAAGTCAAAAGAATGGCTTCAATAATTTAAAAGACAACTGGGTAAATTATTTTTCAGTTAATCAAAAGTTATCAATAGAAGCTTACCATTTAAAAAATCCTGATTTTAGTATTAAAACCTTTAATCTCATGATCAAAACCTAATTTGGATTCACAGGCAATTAAAAAATGACACTTCCAAATCCCTTCTACCTGTTATTGATCACAGTCTGTGCAGGCCTCTCAGGATGGAATGAATCTCATGAGTGTTTTTCATGAGTTCTTGTGATGGTCTGGCTCTGAAGAAAAGTTTTAATATCTGCATTTTGGCATGGAGAAGGGTTTACTATCTTAGATTGCATAAATGACCTTTTTATCACCTTGGCATTATGCATTTGTAGAAATAATTGCATGCCCAAATGCATTGGGAGCTCCCATTAATTCCTGTACCATTTTATCTGAAGTAATTGGAAACCCAGGCCCTGAAATTTGAAGATTATTCACATGACTTAATTGTACTTGTCATATGACTAGAGATAAAATTGATTCAGCAAGGCTGAGATATATTAATCTTTCTGAAATTATAAGGCTGAAGATCTATTCCCACTAACTCTGTCAAGTGAATTTCTTAAAAAACCCCTTTGCTTTAAAATAGAAACCAATAACATATTTTGTTGTTGTTTACACTTTTAAAAAATTTATATTTTTATTAGTACATGTTTGCATTACAAAATGATTGCACTTGTTGTGGGGAGTTGGAACATGTGCATGACACAGCTTAATTCTTCTTACGCCCCCTTCCCTACCCTACTCCACCTCTTGGTCCCCTTCCTATTTGGAAAAGATCTGTGTCCCTATAGTAATAGTCCTTCCTTATACTTTATGGGAAGTAAGGGCTTCCCCCACCAATCAGAGAATTGAAAGTTCACTCCTGCTTATCCCCACCTGAATGAGCTGGCCTTTAGTCATCACATAATTCCCTCTTCCTTACATTTCCCATTCCCATACTCTGAAAATCTCAGCCTGTCAGAAGATGAATAATCTTTAGGATGTTGCTTCTGCAAGGTTGCAGGCACTTACTCGAGAGATTAGATTTTATCAGATCATTCCCAGGATCTCTCCTTCACCTTTGACATTTTTTGCTTTACCATATGATGTTTTATTTTCTCTGAGGGAGAAGATATTCAGTGGTAACATTTACTTCTCAGAGTCATTACTAGGAATATTGCTGTTGTTTACTTACTACATGCAGCATCTTGGAAGAAAAAGGGCTATGTGCTTGTAAACGTACTCTGTACTTCTTAGTATGTGAAGAAATTTACCAAATTGAATGGCACTTAGGATAAAAGTGAACAACTCTGCCTGGAAAAGCAAACCACAAAAATGTCTGAAAGCACTCTATTCTTAATGTTTAAAAACTCACTATGAGACTAATTTAAAGTTTTAGAAAAAGTTAAAAACCAGAAAGAATGTGGCTTTGCTCAGTTCAGTGGGTTTCACCTAAAAGTTAAATTTTTTTTTAATTCCTCATTTTGTTTTTGTTTTTAGCTAAAGAAATTTTGATAGTTACAACAAATTCACAAACTGTGACATCTGGAAACCTGCAAAGTGATAATAATGAATCCAGTGGGTTCAATATCTTGAGGTATCTACTCAGCAGAGGTTCTGAGAGGCTCTGACAGTCCATGAGAAAGTGACCACACACCACTTCAATGACCTCTGAAACTGTAGTAAGTCTAGAAGATTGTATTCTTTCCTTAGAGGAAAAAAAATTTCTCCATTGTAAATTTTTTGAATATAGGAAATAAAATGGCAAGAAGAAGCAACACCCAGGTCCTGTATAGTCTGTGATAAATGCAGTTTACTCATTTATTCATTCATTCATTCAATGATCATTTACTGTATTAAGAATCTAGTATAAGCAGCCACTATTAGTTGTTAAATAATTAATATATTGTTCTTCTCAAAGAGGGATACAAGTGAGGAAAGATGGACACGTGGTAGAATACACTTCAAAGTAATAACTGTTTCTGTTAATCTACAAGCTGCTCAGAAAACAAAGTGATTAATGTTTCTCTATATCACCAGATCTAATCCTATCAAATAACTCTCTGCATAGCTTTCTGTCCTTTCTGTATGACTATCAGAGAGGATGGTGCCGGCTCCCTGGCAGGGCCTCTACATAATGCCATACACTACAGTGCCCACAGTAAGCCCTGCAGTCAGGCAGTGCACCATCCACGCAGAGCCCATGTGGTGGCTTTCCTCAGCCTATTGAAAGAATGGATAAATGGGTATACATGTAGACAGGTAGTTTATGGAGCAAATAACATATATTAGGTAGAAGAAGAAAGGGGAAACTGTAGAGGTAAGGCAAGTTTTTCTAGTTTGAAAATAAAGTCTTCTACATAATAGTAGAAAAAACCGTCATTTATAATAGCAGGCTATTTCGGGATAAAGTTAACCAGTAATGTCCAGAGCTCATATGAAATAAATTTTAAAGCACTCCTGAAGGACACAAACATAGATTTGAACAAATATGAAGTATGCCCTCTATTATTGATTGAAAACTGATTATTGAACTCATTATTAAAAGCTCATCATTTAAACATGAATTATTCATTTAATGTAATCCAAATAAAAACACTAACAAGTTTTTTAAAGCTTGTGTACAAAAACAAACGTTCAAGAATTGACAGGAAAAATAAACAATGCTGTTATTGTTTGATTATAAAGTGGCCCCAGAAGACTCATATATTGATAGCATAATCTACAATGCAGTGAAGTTCAGAGGTAGGGCCTAGTGAGGCAATTGTATCATGGGTGTGGGCCTCATCAATGGATTAAGCCATTGATGAGTATACAGGTGAATGGCCCATTAGGAGGTAGTGCAAGTTGGAGGAAGTAGGTCACTGGAGGCATACCTAGGAGGACATATCTTGTCCCTGTCTCCTTCCTCTCTGGGTCTTCCCCTCTCACCACTTCCTGGCTCCCATGAGGTGCACAGCTTTGCTCCACCATGCCCTTTTACCATGACATTCGGCTTCATTTCAGGCCCACAGCAATGGAACTAGCTGACCATGGGCTGAAACTTTCAAAACCAAGAGCTAAAATAAACTTTTGCTCCTTTAAGTTGTATATGCAGTTATGACACAGGGTCTGAAAGAAACTAACAAAAACAATAAAAAAGAAAAATATGAAGGACTGTTCTTGCCAGTGTTAAAACATATAATAAAGCCACTATAATTAAAGTACTTTGGTGCTAGTACATGAACAAATGAATGGAACCAACTAGAAAACCTAGACAGAGATTCAAGTTCATGGAGAAATTTAATATATGCTAAGAGTGGCATTTCAAATTATTGAGTCAGAAATAAATTTTTGTAGCCATTTGGAGAAATGTAAAATTAGATCTCACAATATATACAAGAATAAACTCCATATTCCTCAGAGATCCAAATGTAAAACTCTAATGATAACAAATACAAAATACCAAAATAAATAAATACCAAAAGAAAACATGAGTGAATACCTCTTTAATAGTAATGTGAGGAAAGGCTTTCCAATCAGGAGTCAAAAATCCAGAGACAATGAAAACAAACAAAAGTGATAAATTTAATCACATAAATTTTAAAACTTTCCCATCATTTCTGTGATATTCCTGGCAAAAACTTTAAATCAGAATCTAATCATAATGAAATATATATCTATATATATCTATATATATATATATATATGTTTTAAAGTGCCAAGATCATGAATGTCACTAAAAGAACAAGTCTCTTGCACATTGAAAGAGACTAAAGGAATGTGATAACTAAATAAAACACATGATCCTGAACTCTATTTTTTGTTATAAAAGGACATTATTGGTACCACTGATAAAACCTATATGAAGTTTGAGGATTAGATGGTAGTGAATATCAATGTTAGTTTTCTGAATTTGATGCTTGAGTTATGATTATAAAGAATACTTTCCTTGTGATTAAGAAAATTGTACCAGTACTCAGGGATGATAGTATAAGTCATTCCTAAATGGTTCTGGAAGAAAAAAACCCTCTAATTTATATTTGCAACTTTTCTGATGAAACAAATTAAATTACTAAAAGGAACTTTAGAAGATATTTGAAAATCTAAACAAAAGGAATTACCAAAGAAATTTGGAATGTTGTTAAAAAGCAACCCCTAAACAACCATCAACTCCAGATGTTCTCACAGGAGAATTCTACTTAGCCTCTAAAGAACAGATCGTTCTAGTACTAAATTCCTACAGAACATAGGAAAAGAAGTAAATCTTTCAAATTGTTTTGATAAAATGGGAAACATATTGATGCTAGAACCCAAATATGACAGAAAGACAGAAAGATCAATCTCTCATATGAACATTTATAAATAAAATATTAACAAATAAATAAAATATTAACAAACAAAACTCAGCAGTACATTAAAAGAATAGTAAATCATGACCAAATGGCATTTTATCTTGAAGTACAATTCCCCTTCAAAAATCACTGTTGTAATTTACTATATTAAATCAAAATGGCAAAATTATAAGATCATCTTTAAAGATGATGAAAATGTATAATACTACTTAATACCCATTCTTCATAAAGAATCTATAAATAAAACAGAAATCAACATATATATGTTTCATTATGTTGAAGAACCCACTTCCACCTTAAGGTGACATCACGTTAATTTAAGATTTTACCCTCGCAGTGTAAAATGATAAGTGATAAGTAAGACAGAGATGTTCACTGCTACTTAACATTCATTCCTCTGGAAGATCTGATTAGTGCAATTAGAAAACACAAAGAAACTAAATGAAAAAATATTAGCAAAAGGAAGTAAAAATATTATTGTTATTTCTAGATAATAAAACAACATATATAGCAAACACAAGAAAATCAGCTGGAAAAACAGAATTCAGTGAGCTAGTAGGTACAAAATTATATAGAAATAAATAAACATCATACATGCAGATAACAACCAAGGTTGTTATCTACTACTACTAGTAGAGAAGTCACTTCTAGTAGAGAAGTCAGCACTAGTAGACTACTAGTTACTAGAGAAGTCAGAGAAGGCTACTAGTAGAGAAGTCAGCATTTCCAGTAATGCATTTGGGACTTCTTATTTATTATACAAATACACTTTAGAGGTGAGTTTTCCAAGCCCATAATCTGACTTTTGTCTCTGGTAACTTCTAGGATTTTCACTGTGGCTTTAATATTCTCAGTGTCACTATGAATTTGTTAGATATGTATTGGTTTACTTACTCTCCTCAGTACTTACTCCTTTCATTTAAGATTTATCTCTTTACAATTGGAGAATCTAAGCCATTTTTACTTAAATGTCTCCCTATTTTCTCTATTCTTTATTCCTGCATTCCTCTATCTATCCTATATTTGTTACATACATATTGGAATTGATCTGTCTATCCCCTATGTCTCTTAATATCCCATTCATATTTTCTATCTCTTCTTTGGTTTGGGAATTATCAGTGGATTTCCTATGTCTATCTCCCAAGTCTCTATTTCTGTTTTGGTTGTATTTCACCTACAGTTCAACTTTTGAATTAAGACTTTTTAATGTTAAACTTACTTGTAAATTTTTAAAATTTTAAT